TTATAGATGCTGGTTGCAATTCTTGGTGATGGTTGCAACCATATTTGCGACATATAAAAATGGTTTGTGACACCTGGTTGCAACCACTTTTGTGACCACTTTGGTTTCCTTTTTTGGGTTGCGACATGGAACACTACTTGGACTCTTTTTCTGGACTAGAATGCAAAATCAGCATTAATATGAATTTGAAATTTTTGAGCTCCAATATTACACTAAATATATTAAAATTTAGTGATTGACACATTATATGTGTAACATGCCATGTGCCAGTTGAATTTCATACACCAGGTGGATGATTAAATACAAAAATCAATTGGCTAACTTCAATTTCATGCATAACAAAGATAACAAATATATAAAAACATCTATAGATTACAGTACACTAGCCATATAACTTTTAGCCCATTCATTATTTTTTCTGCCATTTTTAGTGGAACAATTATACTATCTGCTTCCCACGTTCCTTCACTGATATCTTCATCATAAAATTCATAGTCCTTTTGTTCCCAGATATTTTCACTAAATCAAAAAATTCTTTGTTAATAAATATTAATAAATATTATAAAACACAACAAACACTTAACTAATGTTCATTTATTTGACATTTTAATTGAGAATCAAAAAGATCCAGCACAGTATTGAAATATAAAGAATAATTACCTGTAATGATGTTCCAATCTTCTTCATTAAATTGGTCAACAATCCAAGATGGTGGATTGGATGTACCGTAAAGTCTGGAAAGATAGCACCCTCTTTTTACATATGATCAATTTGAGCATAAGATTATCCAAAAAAGGTAACAAATTTATTACACAAAATATTAAAATATATAATTAATATTAATAAACATTTTTGAAATAATTGTCTAGGATATTTTTTGTGAAACATATCCTTATTGCCATTTTTATACCTATTTTTAGAAGGTGCTATCTTTCGGGGGTGATATCTTTCCAGACTTTACAGTATCAAGGATCAATGAGAAAATAGGGTCATCATATTCCAATGAGTCTATTTCCTGCATCTCGATTATTCGTTTTAATTCTTTTTGAATATCTTTTCCATTTACCACCCATGGGAAACATTTAATATCATTATCCTAATTATGTATTTAATTTACAAATTGTGTCTCTTAAATAGAAACTTTAATCATATAGATTCAATAATTCGAACCTTTAATTTCAAAATATCAAGGTCAGTTTTTTTGAATTTATCTTTTTTATGCAACAAAGATCCTTTGTTATTATTGTGAATACCAGCTTCTTGTAATACAGCTCTAACTTGTGTTCTAACCAAATAAGTACAAAAATAGAAGTCAATAAATCAATATATATAGAATGACAATATGGGCTAATGATCGCAACCACAACTACCATTTTTTTTAATAACTAGAGTGTCGGTGAGTGGTGGCAATAACCACCACCACCATTCTTACGATAAACTAGAGTGACAATGAGTAGCAATAATCACCACCACCACTCTTGCCCATGTTGCTCTTTCTCATCTTTTTTTCTCTTCTTTATCACAAATGACATTTTAAAAAAAAAAAAAGATAAAAAATTATTTATTATTGGCACTTGGTGTTGCACAATTTTTTTTTCTTCCTTGGAAAAACAATCTTATTTTTTGACAGAGTCCAAAATAAGGAAATGTGAGTGTTGTTACTTGAATCTGAAGACGTGTTAATAACAGAGGTACTTTTTTTTATTTGTGTTGATATAATGTAACAATCTTTAATCTTGATCAGTAAAATAATTATAGTCGAAATTAGGTAATTAATCCATACCATATTTGGTAATGTAGAAAAATTCGCTTCATTTAAATTCGCTACGTATTACTAATTTGGCAATCGGGATTATTGCGTTTATTTCGAAGAATCATGAATATTATTTTTCCTTGAATTATTGATATTTTTATTAGGAGTTTTGGCAATGGTGTATAATGATTATTATATTATTATTATATTTTTATTATTATTATTATATTATATTTATTATGAATGTTATCTTTTAAGATTAATACTTTCCAGGAAGTCTATAAGCTTCCATACAATATAGAGATTATTTATTTCTTTATTTCTTTCATGATCTATATTTGTATTTTAAGAATTGTAATTTTATTATTTAAAGAATCAAAATTCGAATAAAATAAAGATAACTTTTAATTTAACAACAATTAAATTACCTGTTCATTAACATTGTTTAAATAATTAAGTGATAATTATTTGAACATTTACATATAATGTGGTGTTCTTTATTTTATATAAATATTTTAATTGGAATCGAAACATGGAGCAAATCATTGCTGAGCAAGAGTTCATGGTAATATTAAAAGAATGCCTCAATGGAAAACCAAAATGGCGATTGATAAAAATGGGGTCTGATTCATTTTGTCAACAATCATTTTGTTGACAGTCATTTTGTCAATACCCATTTCGTCAAAAGTTTGTTTTGTCAAAAGTTCATTTCGTCGAATGTTCATTTCATCGAAAATTATTTTGTCACTAAAAAAAAAACCTCATTAAACAAATTTCTCCTCACACTTCCCACACACTCCACTTTCCTCACCTAATTTCTTAACTAACTTCCCACACTCCTCACATCTAACTCTTTCAGTCTCTGGCTCGAGGATGAATAATTTTTGACAAAATGAACATTTGATGAAATGAACATTCAATGAAACAAACTTTTGACAAAATGAACTTTTGACGAAACAAACTTTTGACGAAATGAACTTTTGACGAAATGAACTTTTGATGAAACAAACTTTTGATGAAACAAACTTTTGACAAAATGGGTGTCGACAAAATGATTGTCAACGAAATAATTTTCAATGAAGTAAACGCGACTGATGAATTCACCTTTGAAAACATTGTTAAAGGTTTTACAGAATGAACCTGACATAGTTCAGAGTCTTTTGGTTTTATTTATGATAAAAATAAAGAATTAGAAGAAAAGAATGCTATTTTAGAACCAAAGGTGGTAGAATTAGAAGTCAAGCAAAAAGAGTTGGAAACAGAGATAGAAGAATTAGAAGACAGAATAAAAATAGAACAGGAACAAGTTAAGGAAATTTTAGCAGTTGGTGAAAAATGAAGTAAAGATCAAGCAGAAGATATAAAAGAAAAAAACAATAAACTCAAAAGTGCCAGTGAAAAAATTGCTTATTTAGAAACCCGAATTAAAAAAGTTAGAGGAAGAATCAAATCAAAAGAACAAAAAAATAGAAAAAATTAAGCAACTAGAAGAAGAAAATAGGAAATTAAAATGATCAAATTGAGACTAAAAAATGATCTTGATTGAAAATAAAAAAGTAATTTTCTTCTGTATAAATTAAAATTCATTCCAACTATCAAAGAAAATGGTAGTTATTTTCCTTCTGATGATTTTTGCTTTTTATTAGGTGATAATGCATCATCATGATGTTTTCTTTTTCCAACATTCATTATTTTTCTTTCTTCTTGGTAAATTTCATAGGTAATCTTTTCTTTTCTTAGATAGGCTTCAAGTGTCTGAGTATCATTTATTTTGAAAATGTAAGGAGCAATTTTTTCACCTTGTTCTTTCTTCAAAATACTTCTAAT